GATTATTTATTGAATAAAGTAAATCGCTCAAAAATAAGTGCAATAATTTAAACTTTTTTTTAATATTTTTCTCTTTATTGAAATTTAGGAGTATTTTATTCTATTTTTCCTGTACATAATATACCACCTATATTTTATGCAGTCAATATTTTTTGTGAAATGTAAACAAAAACTTTTCCAATTTGTATAAAACTTTTTACAGACACCCCTGTATATTATATATAAACGATACAGATCATTTAGCAAGAGATAGTGAAAAGCTTTCTTCTTTAAAACCAACATCTATAAAAGGTAAGTATTGTTTCCAGAAATAACAGGAGATTAATAAAATATAATATTCATGATGCCAAGATTAATTCGACGACAGTCCATTCGCTCCACTTGTAGGTCCGCAGAGAGGAGACGTGAGGTGAGAGGTAAGAGGAGATAAAGCCAGGTGTAAACGCTTGTCCGCTTAAAATAAACAACTTAGAAATCCATTCCGGTATAAGCCGTGTTGTCACATCCAACTTAACATTAACTAGGTTATGGAATTTATTGAAAATTATTAGATCTAATTTAGTAAAATTAAATCTAATTTAGTTAAATTTGATATAACTAATAATTCAAAATTGTTTAGGTTCATTTGCAATAAAATAAGTTGAATTATTTAAGCTTTTTTTAAGATTTGTAAATAAAATGAGAATATTGAAATAGGCATATGACAACCATCGGATATTATACCCTCCTGTGTCCCTTAGAATATGTCTTATTCACTGCAGCACGATATTTGTTAGTAGTTACATCTCCGATTGTTTTCCATTTGTATAAAACTTTGGGACACCCTGTATATTATATATAAATACTACAAAGCATTTAGAAAGATGTAGTGAAACGTTTTCTTCTTGAGAACCAACATCTATAAGGCAAGTACTTTTTCCCATTTCTATATAACTTTTTGGGATACCAACATCTATAATGTTATATAAGTATTTTGAAGTTTTTTGATTAGTGGCGGCTCGTGGTTAGGTGATCTGCAAGAGTCTGCTTCAAAAAAACGTATTTTATAGCTTGCGGTCCTTTTTAGCAACAAACTTACATTCATACGAGTATTTAAAAAACCTCTTTTCGTTTAATGACATAAACTACATCCATCTCTTTCATGTACAATGAAAACGCGCGCTGGGGAATTAACACCAAAAAATAATCTACAAAACCGTACTAAAATCACATCGCCTTTTTTCCTCTAGTAGTAAAAGTGATCGTCTAGTTAATTTATTGATAATTTGTATACCCACGTTGTGATAATGTTAATTAAGGTAAACCAGAATTCGATGCAAAGTTTGGTGCAAATTGATAAATAAAACATACAAACTCATATTTAAACTCCTTTTTATTTTTCATACTTTAAATGTGATGCAATAATTAGCAAATTATATTTCAATTGTTACTATTTACTGAGATCTCACTTGAGTCCCGTTCAAACGCAGACCATATTCATTTGCTATCAATATATATTTTACTTAGGTTGATGACCAACAGAGTGAACGAACAGAGTCAATTCGCCAGTTGATTAACTATAGTGCTGTTGTTTATATTCTGACTTAGGTTGATGACCGACGGAGTTAACGAACAGCGTCAATTCGCCAATTGATTAACTATAGTGTTGTTGTTTATATTCTGATTTAGGTTGATGACCAACGGAGTTAACGAACAGCGCCAATTCGCCAGTTGGTTAACTATTGTGTTGTTGTTTATTTGATTCTATTCCAGATATATACAGGTTGCACCCTTTTAGGTAAATATTACGATGAATATAGAGGTGATGACCAACGGAAGTAACAAACAGCGCCAATTCGCCAGTTGATTACCTTACTATGTTGATTTCACATATACTTTGTTTCAAACCTTGTAGAACGGGTTGCTTAGCGAATACGCTGTTCGTTGAGCTAACGAACAGCGTATTCGCCAGTTGGTTAACTTACTATTAAATTTTACTATCTTGGTTTATACAATTTATCCAAGATAGCACAACCCTGTATATTTCCAAAATATTGATTTTTATAATTTCTATTGACATGACTTAATATAACCCTGTATATTTTTTATTATTGATTATTATAATTTCTATTAAAATACTTAAAATTTCACCCATCCAAAACAGATGTTATCCTAAGTGTCTTTCGGGGTGTATGACCTGAAGGCCATGTGGTTTATTGGTTAAATTGATATTTTGTAGCAAATGTCAAGCCGCCCTTAAACGAAACCGGGGTGGTATCTCAAAGAAAGTTAAATAAATCTTCGACTCACCACTGAAAATACAGACATTAGATTATGTACTAATTTCATATAGCGTCGTGGAAGGCGTCGATTTAGGTACGTCGCAGCATTGAGCGTCGAGGCGCGTAGCGTCGTGGCGGAAAGAAAGGTATTTAATACTGTACTGTATTGGTATACGGTAGAATTATGTAGGTGGTGCGGGACGTGATATTATGAAGGAAATATTTGGGGACGGCAAGCGTCGGAAATAAGGCGTGGGACGTTGAGCGTCGAAATGAATGTAAGGTAGGAAATACTTAGATGATTAGGAATGTGACAGCGTTCGAGACGTAGGGAGTAGGACGGCAGGGCGTTGTGCGTCGAGACGTTGACACCTTCGGGGATAGGAGGTATTGTAGGATAGACGTCGTTTAGGAAGAGCGTTTTAGGAAAGGTACTGACTACTGAACTTGAAATATAACTGGATACAAATAATAAATGAATGCTTGCACATAATAAATGAATGCATGCACATCAAATAATTGAAAATAAATGAATCCGAGCTCATTTGGGTCTGATTTTATATGTGGGTGCAAAAGGGGGTGGGTTATTTATTACTTGTTTTGAAAACTTTGTGTATTGAAATATTGTCGAAATCGTCTAGAAATCGAAACTAGAAATATAAGCGAGTTAAGCGCTTTAACTATAATTACTTCGTAAAAGAAATAAGTTTTATGGTGTTTTCTTTGGGCTGGTTCTCAGCCACGTGCACTAATTTTGGATATTTACGGACGTGGTTATAGCTATTATTTATTAGGTGTCGTAAATAAGATTTAATTATCTGGGAGATTTTTCGTTAAATGAAGCATTTTGAATTTAAAAGAATGTAATATTGTATTTAATAAATGGAATTAATAAATTATTAAGGTACCTGGGTGCGGTAGGTTACACTACCTAGAATGGATATGAAATATATTCGTTCAGTTGAACGCAATAGCATACTTTTTCGTTTTGTAGTTTGTGCGTAGATGTGCTATAATATCCACGTGAGTGTAGAAAAAAATTATTTTACATATATTTTAGAATGTCTAAAATAATTTCTGTCAAAAATGTGTCCCAATTGTAGGGTTTGCGCGTTTAGTGTTAGTTATAATAATGGAATTTGTGATTTAAAAAAATTACTATACACATCAATTGATTTATTTCCTAAATTTGAAGTTGAATAAAATAATGTTGAAATGAAATAGACTGTGTTAACTCATATAATGACGATTAACTCTATAACATATACGTATGTTTAAGGGAACATATTTAGAAAAATATGTATTTATGAAATTCATCATATCACTCTGTACAATGGAAACTGGGACGTTCACAGGAAAATTATATCTAACTTTTCTTAATAATTATAGTTAAGATCTAAAAGTCCCTTAGTTTACGGTACTTTATTCTGAAACACCCTGTATTAATAAAAAAATGCTGGAACTTTGAAAATTTCATCTAATGCGCTAGTTCAGTGTGATGTCATTTTGGTTCCACTGACATTTAATTCTAACCAAACTTTTAATAAAAACATCAATAAATTTGACATATACGTTTTTACTGTTTTTATTTTATATCAAAATATTGTTTACAGGTCATAAAAAATAGTTTAAAGGTATGTAATTGGTAACTAAACGATTGTATATTTGATACATGATATCTACTTACTTTAGGAATATACTCGTATTTATAAAAGTGAAAAAAACGATATAATTTAGGTAAACAAAACGATATAATTTAGGTAAACAAAACGAACAAAACGCACTCAAAAAATCTACTGTCACTTTAATTGTCAGTGGAACCATAATTACATCATCACTGAACTAGCGCATATGTAATAACGAATTAACTTAATGCGCTAGTTGTTTTTTATGTTATTATCTATAATTATTGTCCTACACATAATTTCTCTAAAATGGACCGTATTCGAGAAATTTTACAAAAAGTGCAAAATTCGATTTTTAAGAAAATTTTTTAAATGAAAATTGTTTGTGATGTCATTCTCTATAATTCTTGTCTTATACATAATTTCTCTAAAATGGACCGTATTTGAGAAAAGGTACACATTTTGAAGATAACTCAAAAACGGAATAAGAGAAAAACACCAAATTTTAAATCAATCCTTTGGTGAAATGATTAAGTTTATGCCCAAAATTTAATTGCTTTAAATTAGAAATTATCTTTCAAATGAAGTGTCACACTTTACAATTGGTAAGTTTTTTATCAAGTTAGAGGGCGCTAAACTCAAAAGTAACGCAATGAATAGTCTTATTGCCAAAAAATTATGCATCAAATTACCTTTTCAATGATGTGTCATCTTTAGGGTTAGGCAAAATAATCGATTATTTTTATATGCCCAGCCCTAGTAACAATTTTGCAAAGTTCTGCCTAATTTTATTACAGGTAAATAGAACTAAAACATTGTATACTTTTGCAATATGAAATAAAACTGTTCGATAAAAATAATAATTTATTTTTTAAAGTTAAGGAAAATCAGTAATATCCTAAAATATAGCAGTAATTCATTAGTAATTAATAAAAAATAAAACGTATTTATTATGAAGATTGTTAAAAGATATCTAAAAATAATCTCATCAATCATCATCACAGTACCTGAAATATTTTTTTTAATAGCACTACTGGAAGGGATAAATTAAATAATTTCCTGTATAAATTTTAAATAATAATGTACATGTTGATGTTATATATTTAGAACATTAGTTTCAATATACATCTATAATTTAGATTATTATATACAGAGAGAAATAAATAATGCGTAAGTAATTACATTTTTCATGTCACACATAAAAAATATGAATCAATATTCACAGTGAAATTATTTATCAAACTTATTAGTAAACGGAAATGGTGGTATCGATTCTAAATTAGAAATATCAAATTCAATTACATTATTAAGGGGTTTAATTTCTTTATCTTTCTTATTCAACAAATGTTCATATTTCTTTTCAACCTTGTATTTTTCTAAATAAAGTTTCTTATACTCTTCCTTACTTTCCAATATCTTGGTCTTGAACATATTTAATTCTTGCTGTTGAGAGTTAATACGCAAGTTCATGGCTCCTAAAAAGAAACGGGAGAAAAAGTAAATACCTGAAATGCTCAAAAAGGTAGAAAAAATTGGTCAGGCCTGAATACAGTATGTTAACTGTCGAGAAGTGAATCCAGGAGAAATGTATAGAAAAACAATACCATTGAATAGTGTCTGAGAACTTTGCTGATCTTTTTATTTATTTATTTATTACATACCTATATTTTGTTGTATTTCTGCTATTTCTGTATCATAATTTTTAACTGTTGGTGTGTCTTTCCGTTCAAGAGCAACTTTAAGAGCTTGCTTTAATAAAATATTTTCCTCCCTTAGTTTTCTAATTTCATCATTCTCAGAGTGATTAGTAGTTGAAAATTTGGGTTTCGAAAGGCTTTGATATACACTTTCCTCTATTACTTCAACGGGCTTAAGTTTATCAGCAGAGAATTGAAAAGGACTACTTGCTCCATGTAATTCATTCTCTCCACTTAAATAACAAATTTGATATATTTCTTCAAAATTTTTGTTAGGTAAGATATGTTTGTTGAATGTAACGGAGCAAATATTTTCTTCTGAACTTACAGGAGCCCATTCAAACACAATGTAATCTTTCACAAAGTTCCATCCTAACTTGAATATAGCAACTCTATCACCTTCTTGTGGGGAGTAATCATTAAATGTGAAAGTACATTTGAGATCCTCATTGCAATGATATTGATCTTGGATATTTAAAAATTCTACAGCGTGCTTCATGGAAACAAAATTCGACTCTAAACTATTACCAGCCATTTTCAACTTCTTTGACAATCTTCAATCAATAATCTCACTTTATTTTTCTTCTGGCAATAAAAACTTTTCTAAAATAAAAACAAAGCAAACGAAATGTCAGCTGACACGATACGGTTTAGATATCAAACTGATGCGAGCTTCGAACTAAAACGAAAACACGCGAAAGCAGAAATGTATGCCAAATTAACTAGAATATCTAGCAAACCTGGACGAACAACTTTTTCCGCCTCTCACGAAAGTACCAAAAAAGAAATAAAATTCAAAGGCAATAATTTAAAAAATGTACAAACGGATATAAAAAAACTCATCATTCGAATTGTTTCAACCGTACATAATAGATGATAAATGTGTTTAAGTTTGCATTTGCAAGAATTTTCCAGTGATCGTATATAACACATTCGAGTAATTTGGCATCATTGTATACACAAATTATTTGTAACTCGCACATCGTAGGTATCTAGAGAACGCAGTTTAATAATCAGGTGCGGATCATTGAAAGATATGCAGACAAATTAAAAGGGATATGCGAGTGTCATAAAATATTTGCCCTCCTGGTCTAAGATCCGAAGTAAGGTCGACTTCACCCATCTGTTAATGGATAAAAGTTTATTTTCATTAAATAAAATATGTTTATAAATATACAGCAAATGGGTTGCCTAAGAAAATATGGTCCAGACTATTTATTTTCTTTAAAAAAACGACATCCTGTAAAATATTCCCCAGACAAATGGCCGTGGCCGTATTATTGCTGCGTTTGAGAATCCACATCGGATGCATTTTTTACATCTCGAGCGTTTTTTTATCCACATCGGACACATCTGTCCCATTACATTTACGTATACTGAATCACGTGATCAAAGATTTTTTACATCTCAGATGCATCCGATGTGGATTCTCAAACGTAGCATATGTTAGACGCAACCTATTTGCGGTATATTTAAAAACATTTTATTTAATAAAAAAAAACTTATCCATTAAACAGATGGGCGAAGGTGGATCTTACTTACGGCTCCTGGGACTATCCCTAAACCGTAGAGTTGATTGTATGGATTTATTCAGTCGATATCGAGATATGAGCCATTTTAGAAATACTGGTACGTTTTTACCCGAAATGAAATTGATACTTTCTCCCCCCCCCCCCCGAAATAAAATAATAGGAATCTTTCAGCGTGACTCGAGTATCCGGATTTGGCCAAAAATAAGATTTTTTGGCAACCGAATCTATATTTTCTTTTTATTATTTTATTCAATGTTAATTTAATTTCCAAGTAAGTTTTTCGTCTAACTGAAGTCTAATAAGGTATTTTACTTCTGTATTTATTGGTATAGGCGTATTATTTAAGTATAGTTGTGGAAATATCTAATTCTTCGATTTGTGAAATTAACTTGACAGGATTTGTTATGGCATGATTTTAATTTTCCAGTGACTAAGCCAATTTTCTAGTTCGTTGAGGTGGTTTTGCAGTTTGTTGAATGCTCTTATTTCATCTGTGTCTGATGCTAGTATATCATCCGCAAATGTTGCCATTAATGTATGATCACTGACGGGTATGTCAGCAGTGAAAATTAAGTACAAGAACGGGCCGAGTACACTGCCTTGAGCTACTCCGGATTTTAGTTGATTATAGTTGGATAAAGTTTCTTCATATTTAACAGGAAAGTATCTGTCAGACAAATATGAGGAGGTATGATTGGTCAGGTAGATGGGTTTTGATTTTAACGAGGAGACCCTCATACCACACTTTAACGAATGCTTGCTGTATATCAAGGAATACTGATATACAGATTCGTTTTTCTTCTAAGCTCTCTTTTATTCTGTTGACTAACCTGTGGCACTGTTGTATGGTTGAGTGACTTGAGCGAAATCGAAACTGGTGATCTGGGATCAGATTTTCTAGAGGTATTGTTGTTTCTATTCTGTTGAGAATCCTTTCAAAGACTTTTGATAAAGTCAGAGGGAGACTTATTGGTCGGTACGAACTAGCTTCAGTTGGAGATTTACTAGGTTTAGGTATCATTATAATTTGTGCGTACTTCCATTGCACTGGAATATAGCATAGCCTAAGGAGGCTATTGAAAATGATAGTTATTAGGACGATACCTTTTCTTGGGAGATTTTTTAAGATTTCGCCAGTTATAAGGTCAAATCCGGGAGCTTTGTGTGGGTTGAGAAGTTTGATTTCATTGCGGACTTCACTCGGTGAGAAGTATTTCAGTGGTAGTGACAACTGACGGGGGGCATTAAGGAAGGCTCTAATTTCATCGTCATTGATATCGTTTGGTTGTGGGACGAAGAAAACAGTTGATAAATGTTCTGCGAATCATTTTGGATTTTTCTGGATCAAACCGAGCCCAAGTTCCGTCGATTTTTTTAATTGGAGATTTGGCTACTGTTGGTTTCTTGAATTTTTTTGAGGCTTTCCAAAGGGAGTGGTCGTCAAGAGATAGGTTGGTAACATATGTTTCAAACGATTCGTTTTTGGCAGTTTGGATAGCACAGTGAAGTCTGCGTATGAGTCTGTTTAAATTTGTTTTATCTAATGGATTTCTTGTTGTTTGCCATTTACGACGGGCTCTTCTTCTATCTTCCACTAGTGTTCTAATGTGGTACGGTATTCTGTATCTTTCTTCAATAATTTTTTCATTTACAGGAGTAACTTCCCAAGCGGCGCTTTGAATTTGTTCTGTTAGGTATTTTACAGCTTCTTCAATGTCATTTTTGTCTTTGAGTCGTACCTATGCCTAAAGATTTCTTTTCATTGATTTTACCATGAAACTGATTCCAATTTGTGTTTCTGGAGCAGAGCCTTGGTGCAGGTGTTTTCCAAATTATACTAGTACTTAAGGTTATTATGATAGGACTGTGATCCGAGTGTAAATCGAAACAGGAGGTGATGTTGCTGTGTATTCCATCTACATAAAATGAAAAATTAAGCTTCAAATTTTGTACTTTCAATTTGATTTGTCAGTGTCGATTTGCTTGTACTTACCGTTACAAAAAATATGAATTAAGGATACCTAGTTCGTAACAATGCAGTTATTAATAGGATGTAGACAATTAATGAGGCCAATTCAATGGCTGATTTTGTCAATATTAACTGGATGGGATTTATACACGGTCAACGAAAAAATGTGTAGTTGGTTTTACTTAAAACGCGTGCATAAAAAACCAAATGGTTTTGTTTATACTGCTATTATATACCTGCTATGCTCTTCAATATGCACGTGGGACACGACCTGTTTGTTGTTTCATGACAGGTAAGACAGATGCAAAATAAATGGCGCAATTACTCTGAGAAATAACTATTTTGTATTTGCTTGTCCATGTATACATTTTATCTGAAAGCAATTGTACATCTTGCATATACATACATATGTGAGTTTCAGGTATATCACGATTCTCACTATAACGTTAAAAGTTTATTATTGATGATAGAAAAGAATGAGCTTTTTCTGACAGATGTTCCCTTAGCAACTTCAGTTTGAAACATTAAAACATGTAATTCTACAATAAATTTTTGTTATTAGCTTGATTGATTATTTTCATTTCATGGTACGCTCTCTTACAGAATAACTGAATAGATGATCGTAATATTCATTCAAGAAATTATTTTCAAATAGATAATTGAGGTTGTTTGCTTAGACCATCAGAGCAAGCTAATATCCATGCAATTTAAACATTCAACATGTTTTTTTAAGTTTTGACAACAAAACCAGATATATGCGTAGGCCACATTTCCCGAAATGAATGTCGGAAGCAGTATTATTCTTTGAAAATCTTCGATAAATTTTATTGAAGATCATATCATATTCTTGATCAATCCAATTGATGGTATTATTCTCTTACTCAAGGAGGTGGACAAACATGAGAAGTTCGATGAATTTCATGTTTCACAAAAAGTGGCTCGAAATTGTTCACACTCGTATTGCTATTTTTTGCTGACAAAAAACAGCATTGAATAACTCTCGGATACAACATCCCCAAAATGCAATTCCATAAATGGGACTCAACTAGAGCAAAATATACACTTTTAGCTGGTTTAAAACCTTTTCTTAATTTCACAAGACATATATGGATGGTGTTATAAAGAACGCAGGTGTCACTGCTGTGCCATAAAATCGTAGCGTCATCAGGAAATAGAGGGAAAGTACTTGCAATGTTGTCATTTACTAAAGAAGAAATAAAATGGGCCTCAACACAGAACCCTGAGGGACTCTCAAACTTATATCTAAGTTTAGTGGATTTGGCGCGATGACGCAGTAGATGGATCAAAAAAAACAAGTGATGATCCAAAAAAGGGTCTTTTGAATATTCTTTTCCCGAAATAATACAATGATTTCGGCGAAATCCTATAAAATTAGAGGAATAATTTCGACGAAACCACATATGGAACCTTGGGTGATTTTGCCTAAATAGTATAAATTATAAGATTTCGGCAAAATCATACGAATTTTTGGTAATTTCCGAAATACGGGTACATTTTGATCTTAGTGGTTTGTCCCTCGGGGATATATATTTCCTCACAACTAAAAGAGTGGACAAAAAATAATTTATAAGTTGCATGGTAGTATGCGCTAGGCTATTACATGCAGCGCTTGGATTGAGTCTCATTAGGCCCCATATTAAGCATCCTCAGGTAGCTTTTATTTTAGGATTATTTAAATTATCGTTATAAATTAAATGAATACAAAAAATTTACATATAAATTGCATAAAGGTTTTTTATAGAGTATTCATAGGCTAAATCTCGCCCTATCGTGCACTTTATTTTTGTAATCTATATTTAGGGCAAATAAAGACGTTTATTATTATTCTAATTATACATATTCTCTTTCATTATAAGTTAATATTAATCGTTTTATTTATCTGCTCAATTATTTAACCACAAATATGAATTATTAACTAGAGATGGCTCGAATCTGTACAAATTATAAGGATCATACGATTCATCGGATTTGAAATGATTCGCAAAGTTCTTGTTTTCGTATATACTGTTCATTTCTTATAATAATGACGAATTTTACTAGTAGAATTACTGCAAACACAAAAGTACTGCGGTTTGGTTACTATATTTTAATATAACCTAAAAGGAAATAGAAGTTGTATTCATAAAAAAACCGCGTACTGGAAACCAAACGATTATTTGTGAATGTAGTCCAACATTTTTTAACCAAATAATGCAAGAAGGTAAAGTTAATATTGGTTGGGAAAGATACACAGTGTATGAGGACCTTGACATACCAAGATGCTATCAGTGTCAAGGATATTACCATAATAAACAAAATTGTACAAAAAAAATTGTCTGTTCTCTTTGTGCTGAAGAACATCTAAGAGAAAACTGTCCTAAAACTAAAGTGTGTTGTGCTAATTGTAAGAATTCAAATATTAATTTTAACTCCAACTATCCAACTTATCACTACGCCACTGATTCAGAGTGTACTCTGAAATATTTCAAACAGGTTCTTAAAAATAAAACAACCTATTGTGAAAATTAATTTCTTATCTTTGCTTTCTTTTTTGTTTTAATTTAATCTCAACATTATAATAGTTTTTACTAATTTACCACAATTTAAATAATTTTTCTCTCTTTTATGGATATAGCAGACTAAATATTTTTAATGAGATTGAAAATGAAGAAAATGAGAAATAAAAATTTTCTTTATGACTTAGACAATTTTTTAAATATTATCAGTTGCAATAATCATTTAACAACCTTTATAAAAATTTTGCATTTGAATATTAGAAATATAAAAAATATTTTGACAATTTTTTAGTATTTTTAGAAACTTTTGGTTTAATGGACTTGGATATTATAATATTAGGAGAAACACGTAATGTTATTGAACTTAATAATTTAATTATACCTGGTTTTATCAATATATTTAATGAAAATATGAATAATCAAAGTGATGATATATTAAAAACAACATTCATACTTTGAAATAGAATATACAAAGTTGCCTCTACCAAATGTAAGGATAAGCTCAGTAACATTTAGTCATAATGGTGTGGCTTATACAGTAATGCCTTGTTATAAATCTCCATCCATATCAGATGATACATTTCTTACAGATTTTGAAAATTTCTTAAATATACCAAGAAGGCTAGGAATGGATATATTTATTGGTGACATTAATATTAATATCCTTGATCCCTCAAACCAAATAACAAAGATATTTGGCAATGTTATCTTCCTTGGGATTTGTATCATATATTAATTCATACACCAGGGTTACTGTAGAAACGAAATCATGTATTGATCATATTTTTATAAAATATAATATGCCAAATAAAAATTTTTCATTTAAATCGTTGGTAATTGACTGATCATTTTCCAATTTTTTTAAATATTACAACAAACGAAAGAAACTTTAACCATAATACATTAAACCATCATAGGTACAACATAATACACCGATATCAGAGACAATCCAGCGAGACGTGTAACTCAATGTATTTTTTTTGTTCGGTAAAACTTATTTGGGCGATTGTAACCACAACCAGTCTATGATGGCGCCACTAGTAAATAGCGGGAAAATTAAAAATGCTTTAGGGCGGGAAATTCAAACATGGATTCAGAAATCGTTTTTGTATACAACAAATTTACAAGAGAAACAAAAACTATTGTTTCACTGTTTATTAAAAAAATATAAAAGCTTCCAATAACATCAAATTTTTTATCATATAAATAATCATTTTAATAAAGGAAGTTTTAATCAGTTTAATATAAGCAGTGAACATAGTTTTTATTACTCTTGTAAATTTCGCTAAAAAAACTTGAAAATTCTATTGATTATTAAATATTTAAACTTGGAAAAATAATACACCAAACTCTTTTTCTATAAATTATATTTTTTTAAGGTACAGAAAAACAAACTACAATTGCTATGTTTAGAAAGTACCTCCTATCATTTTGTGACAAATTACAAAGAAAGTAACAATTGTTATATATTCATAATATATTTAAAAACTAATGTAACAAATATTTTATAAAGTATAGAGTATATCGATACCTTTTTGCCAGACTATCATAAGTGCCATTTGAACAAATGTCGTTTATGTTAGTCTGGCAAAAAGGTATCGATATGTTATGACTGTTTATTTTAATAGAAACCATGGAAATGAAACAAACACAGATACACTCAACACAAATGTATAAGGCCTGAGTCGAGTTCCCATCCTGTAAACTGGACCTCTTATAGTAATCAAGATCAATAGATTTATATGCCATGCCTTCTAAAAGGGAATGAAGGATGACATACTATCATCATTTAAACAGGACGTTGCTGAAGGCTTACCCCTGTTATTTCGTTTGTTTGTGTATCTTGTGTGTGTGCATTCCTGTTGTGTCCCCAGTCATGTAAAAGTTTTCCTAGTCTCCTAATTTGGTTACTAGGTGGACCTTCTCCAACTAGTAGTCTAATCTATTCGATCTGTTCGGAAGCTACTTTTCAAACATAGCAAATAATATTATTAATAATAAACACTATTTAAAGATAAATACATTTTTGTAATTTTTTTTGTCATTGCCCCTTACCTTTCTCTTACACCACCAGGGTATACCTATTTTCCATATTCCCTTACAATGTTCGAATGAATATAACATTTTACTCATGAAAAAGCTAATTTCATATTCAATTTCATTTGAAACAATAATTGGTACCTATATTACAATTTATTATCAAAGAAAATTTCTAATAAAGTTATAGCAAATCCTACTTAAACTACTGGTTGTTCTGCAGGATAAATTAACTTTTCTTGAGATTGATCTCTCTATAAAATCCAAAACCGACCTGATGTCCCCAAATTTATTTTCCAATGCATCCTGATTTAAAATTCTGCCCTTTTGATTCAATTTTTTTTTTCTTCCTTTAGAGTGGCTGTTAGAGGTAGGTGTATGTAAGAAATGGCTAATCTCTAATCATTTCAAAAGTCCTTTGCCAATACTACATGTGCAGATTTTTTACTCAGCATACATTTTACTTTTCTAGTAGATAGGAACTTTGTGCTGCCATTAAAGCTGTCCAGACATTCATCTACCTACTTACAATGGATCTCTGTTCCAATTCACCTAAAATAATTATAGTCATTGTGTAATATATTATTAAACACACACATTATACAGTGGTTTTCTTAATAAATTGGAAATTACTTACTCTAGAAAGAAATGTGTACAAAAACGCGAGTTTGGTTCCAGAAATTGCTTCATGCAAAAAATAATATGCAAAAATAAACAGTCCCCCCCAAAGAAAATTAATTAAACAACAAAATCAGACTAAAAGAAATATACGGGGCCCAAATTAAATTAATTTTAATAAAATGCACATGTTCATAACAACATTCATAACATTGTCAGTTGTCAGTTTTAATACTTTTAATCGATATTTCTACGTCAAAAAACCAGCAACACCAGCGCCCTCTGAAAATGGTGTTAGTTTTATTGGAGAGAGATAGACATATGTAAAGATCAATGTAAAAGAAAAAGAGGGTCATATATGTAATTTAAATGGACCACCGAACATATTTTCCTATTAAGTTACACGTCTCTGTTGTCTCTGCCGATATAGATAGATTTACAAAATTATTAGAAAATGTAAACTGGGACAACGTCATTTCTCTTAGCAATCCAATTTTGGCCTGCCAGAAATTTATTGAAATAATATATTCCCTAAAAGAACAATGTAATATAACTAATAGGCATAATATTTATAAAAAAATAAAACCATGGATAAGTCAAGGCATCATAATGTCTATTAAACATAGGGATACAATGAAAAAGCAAATATTAAAAACCAAAAATTGATATAGATATGGCAACTAAAATCAATTCTGTAGAGGACTTCCTAATAAGATATCCACCTCTAATCAACTCAATGGCATTAAATCCTGTCAATAAAAATGAATTAATAGAACATATAAATTCGTTAAAAAATAACAGTGCTCCTGGAATTGACGGAATTACATCTAAAATGTTGAAAAATGGTCACCGATACATAATAGAGCCTTTAATGCACATTATAAACCTAATCTTTACGACAGGTAAGATACCGGAAGAACTTAAAATATCAATTGTAAATCCAGTTTTTAAAAACGGATCCAAAAAAGATGTGTCAAATTACAGACCAATAAGTTTGATTACAAATTTTGCAAAAATGTTAAAAAAAAGATTATACGAATATCTAATTGATAAAGATTTTAAATGTAAAACAGTTCGGGTTCCAAAAAGGTGTTAGAACTTGTGATGCCATGTATAAATTGATATCTAATATAAAAAAGTCTTGAGAATGAAAATAAAAATATGTGTTTTTATCGACCTCGCGAAAGCTTTTGACACTGTTCCTCACAAGCAACTACTAAATGTTCTGAACATTATGGCATTCAAGGATTGGTTTTAAAAATTTTTGAAAACTACCTACACGAGAGAACATACAGTTAAAATTAGAAATAAATTTAGTAATCCTGTTAAAATTCAAATAGGTGTGCCACAAGGAACTGTCCTTGGTCCAATTCTTTTTATCATCTATATCAACTCTCTTTTAAACTTGATATAAATGGTATAGCAATATCCTATGCAGATAACACCCTATTAATGTTTGAAGATAAAACCTGGGAGGCTGTACAATCAAAAGTGGTTAAAGGGGTAAGAATTATGAAAGACTGGTTGGATTATAATAAAATCTTTAAAATATATATCGAAAACAGTATATATGGCATTCTCACTCACATATGCTAACAGGTCTAACTTCAAACAGATTTGTATTGAAGAATCCAAATTCATCATCAAAGAAGTGGAAAATTCCAAAAATCTTAAATGGACTGATCATGTTCAGTACTTAATAAATAAGAAAACTTATATATACATTTTATTTACTTCGTAACATTCTAAATAAAACGTTATTACACTTGATACATTGAATCCTTAATTAGATATGGCATAATTGTATGGGGTGGTTTATATGACAATGCCCTACATCCTTTAAGTATCATTCAAAATTATATCTTAAAGATAATAAATCATAAAAGTCATTTGTTTTCAACAACCCTCTTATACAACGAATCCACTCCAAATGTAAGATCACTATACTTTCACTGTTTTATTTCAAACTAAAAAATAAAAATTTTAAACCACTCTTATATATTTATGTCCTTTTAATCATCAAATGTTTACTTATTATTTTGAGATTACCTTTGATATATGAAACAAGTGTAATAAAAATGAACAATAATAAAATTATTTTATAAAAATAATTTAGTTATGGGGAAACTAAATAAAAATCAAATTAGTCACATGAATGTTTTATTTTGAATACATCAGGTTACAAGTCCTAAAAAAAATCTAATCTAAAGTATAATATAAACACAAATTACTTAACTTTAACTTAAAATCTACAGACACCTATCCATCCTGCACAAATTTATAAGTAAAAATGGAAACCACATATAAAGTAACTGAACACATACCTTTATTATTATGAATCAAAAATTAAAAAATATTCAAAGCAGTGCTGCCATTCCGTCGATCAAACATTTGACAATGCTCAGAGAACAATTTCTATTTGATATTTCATCATTAAAAACATAAAAATGTATGTTCTTTTTTGTAACATGGCAGGATAATGTTATGTAAGTTATAATGTATGATGAGACAAACAATGAGTACAAAAACAAAATAAAATCTACAATGAATGAAAAAAGGTGCTGAATGAAAGATTTTGACGTTTAAGCACGTTCACCTCTGATTCGGCGCGCTAACTGAATGTCTTTAGGCATAATTGTGACTCTCTTGGCGTGGATAGCGCACAAGTTGGTGTCTTCAAAAAGACCTACTAAATAGGCCTCAGATGCTTCCTGAAATTCAAAAATAAAATTTATAATCTATTACATTTTGATATTTAAAAAATAATGGGCAAATATCGGTTTTAGCATTATAGCCATATCAGCTGTAAAATTAATTGTTTATAAGGTGGACATTTTTCAAGGAGACAGTATTGCTAAGTTAATGTTTTATTTGAAACAAAATTTCATATTGTGCATTTGACTTCAAAAATTTAAACGGATGGAAGAACCAAACATAAAATCCTTATTTTTCCTAACAGTACAAACACAACACAAATACATGTATTTTCCAAGACCCAGAAGAAGCAATACTGTTCCTGTAAATATCCAGCATGTATAAAAATTCTAAAATAGTTAAAAAAAAAAAAAAAAATATGTTCTATAAAATGGAGTATATTACGTCGTATTGGTGAAAAGGGCGAAGCCACATTTTTTGGCAAAATGAGTATATTATAGCACAAAAATAAAAAACTGAAAAATACAGTGGTGAAGAGAGATAAGCGATTTTGTATTATAACCTTAAAATCCCACAAACTGTGAAAGAAGCTAGGTAAAAATGCATATATTTCTTTCAGTGGTAAAACATTTTTATGTGACAGATTTCTTTTTCTTTCATTTTTAAATCAAGTCTTAAAATGAAACAGTGTTTTCATTGTACCAAATTTTATCATATTTAGTATATAAATAACTTAGATTTAAATCAGAAGTTGATTTAACCTAAGAGTTCCAAACTTATTTACCATTTTCTTCAATTAATAAGTGTGTGGATTAGCTCTTTTCACTACCAATACAACTAATGAGGAAACATATTTGAAATTTTATGAAAAGATTAGTCCAATATAAAGGAGATGACAAAAACTGGCTTTACAGGTAAGTATAAGAGCAAGTTGAATAATGCAAGTCAAAATAATCAAAGAAAGATGATAAAAAGAAAAATCAAAAAATTATAGTAACAATGGACTAAAATAGTAAACTTTTATTATTCCATTTTAAACTTTACCACTTATAAAGTACTTTAGCAAAATTTTGCTGCTCAGATATCACTGGAGGCTGAAGAAATAATTGTTAAGTTGAGAATCTATGTCATGTGACGTGCAACAATAAATTCATTTTTTTAACAATTCTGTACAATGCATTGAGTGGCGTTGCAACAAAATAAAAAGGGTAGCATCAATTAAAATTTACTGATTTGTACTAATTGATTTATATTTATCTTGTATTTTGTTTACTTTGCATTTATTCATATACATAGAAAATATAGAAAGAATTCATCAAAGTGCTCCAAGGTAGAGAATCCAAAGGCCAGTTCAATGATTCTCCTCTAAGGGTAGAAGAGTTATGATAACACAATCATAATCAGGTACAATTAGAATTATGCAGTTGTTGTAAGTCTAAGATAAGGCCCCATCAAGATCTAGCGACAACAAAACAAATTATTCATTGCCGGCATTTACAGTCATACTGTTAAGTTCCGCTTATTATAAAGTATTGTCTTAATAATAATTGAAAAAAAAAAAAAAAATCTGTAAACTTGAAATTTGTTCAATTTCTTCCTAAATAAATAATTGGAATTTATTAAATAAATACATTTCTGAAGAAACAGTAATAGATAACAAGATACCACATTATATGAATAAATTTGCAAAAATGTTATTGAAATCAGCAAAAATAGTAATTAACACATTGGCTGCCAACTACTAAATCGTAATTAGTGTTCTTGGCTAGAATGCAGACTAGGACTCGTAGGTTGTTTACTCCCTATATAGATTATGAGAAGAGGATAAATCAAGGATAGCTTATATGAACAGACAATATATTAATAAATGAACAGATAATATAATCAAATTTATTCAGAATCAAGACTATTTCTATTGTTTCTGATTTACTACTAACAAATTTAAATGTTCTCTCAGACTGTGTATGAATTAACTCCCATTTGGCTTGATAATTACTATGTACTAGAAGCATTTTTTAATAATATTTTTAAAATATATTGACTTATTAGGCCGCAATTCTAAAAATTACTGTGGCAGTCAACGTGTTTAAAAACAAGTATTTTCAAACCAATTTAAAGAATTATTCAGCCTTAAGATAATTTTCCAAGACACCATTTTCCTTTAAATGTAATTTTTTTTTACTTTTATGTAGGAAGGTTTAGCTAGTAAGTCAGCCCCCACTAATAGTCTGCCACTTCAAGTGTATTTTAGTTTAATTATAAGTGTTTAGAAGCTGTTTTGTCTTTTAATGCAACTTTAAACTTATAATAACTTATTTTCATACAAAAACAGATATTAGAATTTTTAAGCTTGAAATAAGGTGGCCAGTTACTGGAATAAATTCTAACCCATGGTGCTAATAATTACTATACCTTACCTTGCAAATTTTTGAGAATTTTTTTTTTTAAAAAATGTGAGTATTTGTACAGTGCCTCACGAGAAAGTAAGTCCTCAACAACAATTCTCGAATTATACTATTATTTATTGATTAGATGGAGTAGAAAAAAACTAAAAATAAGGTTTTTGAAATATTTAGATTTTGTTTTATACAATAAAATATAATATATAGTAAACCTTGGAACTTATTGAGAAATTAATATTAAAAAATTACAAAAAATTTTTAAGTAAACTAATTGAAAATTTTTTGTGATATTTTAATAATAATTTCTCAATAAATTCCACGGTAACCTATATATTTCTACTCCATCTAATCAATAAATAATAGTAAAATTAATTATAATTCGAAAATTGTTGTTGAAGTCTTACTTCCTCGTAAGAAACTGTACAAACACACATTTTAAAAAAAAATTTTCTTAAAAATTTGCACGGTAAGGTATAGTTAAAAATTCACTATTAGATAAATAAGGACTTCAACTATTAGAAAAAAATTAATTTTAGTCATAATCTAATATTTTTTTATTTAACATTGGTGGTGAAAGGACCTCCTTAACGGGTCTGTGTTTATATCTCTATAAAACCCAAAAAAGAACCAAAATTAATTTAATCATTTATAAAAAAAAAAAAACATTTAACCATTAAAAAAAAAAAACATTTAAACATTTAAAAAAAAAAAAAAAACATTTAAAAAACTACTAGAAAAATCTTGAAAAAGGTTTTTTTTTGACAAAATTATGATAGTCTTCAATGAATGATTATCGTGTATAGTTGAAATAAGAAAAAATTATTTATATACAATAATATATAAAGCCAGATTTTTAGTCTATTTTTGTATCTACTGTACAATGGAATGTCCTTTATTTCTTGAGGTACCAAAATAAAAACTCTAGGGGCCAGGTAATCACTACATCTTTGGCCAATACTGCTTTCTGGTCGCGGAAATAAAATAGCTGCAGGTCAACAGGTATTGTAGGGATGGCGTCATGAGGTTTTAACGTAATTTTAGATTTTTTCAAAAATAATAGAATTTGTAAAAAGTATAGTTGTCTCATATCATATATATTAGAATCTTCGTAAACTGCGTTACTAGGGCATAAATATTTTTTTTTGTTAATTATTCTTAAAGTCCATTTTTGTATCACATGAACATCTTTCAATGTGTTATCATACACACCTCCCTAACCAATGATGCCGTAGATCATTAAGAATTGTATTAAAGAAAAAATAAAGAGATCTCAAGCAGTGTATGTTTAGAAAGTCACATAGATATCTAAATTTTGGTAAAAACCCTTTTAACTTTTATGAGTTGTTTTAAATGAAAGTCCAATTTCATATGCCTGTCCACAATAATCCCTAAATATTTAATTAATGTAGATTCACAAACTTCATTATTCAATCTCACATTTAATGGACCCAATACTGACAGACTTCTAGAACATGGACCTTTTTGTTTTTATCTTTTGTTTTTATAGAAGTTTGAATATATATTCCTTGCATGGCACAATTAAGAGTAATATCAAACGATATATTGCATTAGTAGTCGGCCAGGGTCAAAGTGAATAACAGAAGAATTACAAGTGTTTTAAGTTGCTGGCCAACTACTAGAACAGTATCCAAATAAGTACTTTGCTAGTTGTTAGTCACAAACATTTTTCACATTTTTTTTTTGTATCTTTTGGTCTAAAATTTGCCTTTTTGGTATTCTAGACCATGGCTAAACATCCAAAGAGAAAAATCTACATGTTCTTGGAGGAAAACTTGAAAAGGGCTATAGATACCAAAATAAGATATATACCGGGTGTTCAAATTAAAGTGTTACAGTTAAATACCGCCGAAAATATGCATTTTAGAAAAAAGTTTTAGTTTTTTGGGGGAAACATTTTGGCTAAATTAATTTTTTATAACTGACCATAATATGACCATATCGAGGTGGACTTGTTTTAATTGGAACCACATTTGTTTTTGCATATTCTTAAAGTACATAAAAAAATAAGAAACTTTTGAGGGAAATATTTTTTTTATTTGACTTTTACTTATTGAGTAACAGCTACTTGAAAAAAAGTTGGCCATATTATGGTTAGCTATAAAAAACGATTTTAGCCAAAATTTTTTCCCCACAAAACTATAATACTTTTGTCTGAAACGTTTTTTTTTTTTAAAGGCGGTATATAGCTGTAACACTTTAATTTGAACACCCGGTATATTATGGGGTTCCTCAGTCAACACTTCAGGACCGGATTAATGGAAATGTTAATGAAAAATCTCGAAAGTTGGGTCCAGTCCTGTTTTGAAGCTTAGAAAGTGAGAAAAAGATAGTTGACTGGTTGATTGTTTTTTTTTTTATTTTTTGTTTTCATAAATTTTTATTTTTTACTAAAGTGTATGACTACTAGCTAAACCACCCTACATTTTTATTATTTTATTAATGCACTATTAAGTAGAATATTTTTCTTCACAAGACAAAAAATATTTGATAATTCAAAATGATCACATTTTGTATTCTAAATTTGTAGACCCCTGCATTTTTATTGGTAAATAATACATGTTTATTTTTTAATGACAATGATAAACCTTACCTGTAAAGCTCCAATTGCAGCAGACTGGAAACGGAGATCAGTTTTGAAATCCTGTGCTATTTCTCTCACTAATCGTTGGAAAGGCAGTTTTCTGATGAGCAATTCAGTGGATTTTTGGTATCTCCTGATTTCTCTGAGGGCTACTGTACCAGGACGATAACGATGGGGTTTCTTGACTCCTCCAGTTGATGGGGCGGATTTTCTCGCCGCTTTGGTGGCAAGCTGCTTACGAGGAGCTTTACCTCCCGTAGATTTACGCGCCGTCTGCTTGGTACGTGCCATGTTTTATGTGAACTATGAAAAAGGGTTCTTAATAAAGAATATAGAACATTTTGACATTTATAAAAATACTGATGGCAGACAAAGAACGTATTTAATAGTCTCTAAAGAAACTAAAATAACTTTTTATATGACATGAATTTAAACATGGTTAATTTAACGCCAGGACAAAGTTCTGGTTGTCTGCATGTCTAGGCTAGACCTACATACAAAACTACCTTTGTTTGAACATGTGTAAATGATTTACGATAAATTATTACAAATATGTGTAATCTTTTGAATAAGAATAATAGTCAAAATTATTATCATTTTATCGCATACTTTATAAAAACAAAAAAGGATTCGTGACTGATTCACATCGAAAGAATGCGATTAAAATTTTATATAAAAAATACATGTTTATAAAAACTAAATGTACGTTTTAATATAAGAAGCAATAATGTAGATAAATTATAATATTTATAGGTCTTTACAAGCCGATGTAGAAGTTGTACAACGAAATGAAAAAATAGCGCCAAAAATGAGGATAGGTCAATTTCATCACAGCAAATTTACAATAAAACACCGAATCTGCGACTCTAAAAAACCCTAACTTTGCAATCTATAATAATTTACTACAATCTTTTATAATTATTATGTATGCTATAATAAAAATTTTCATTAATCATATGAGATTTCCAAACACAACATGGCGGCTATATATAGCCTATACAACAAAGAGGTCCCTGACCGAGTTTCACCGAAAAATTCATTAATTTTCTTTCCCACAATTTTCTTTTATCAATAAACATTAACTAACCCCTTAATATATAATTTGCACACATATTTCTAAAGATTTTGTAAAATTTTCTTACCTTTTCAACAAAAATTAAATTTGCAGAATAAATCGGTACCTTACAACACCAGTGTGAAAGTCAAAGTGACGCTTCTCGGAGTGATTCCATTGGCGCATGAATTTCTTCTAGGTCAGCTGTGATTGGTAGAAATAAACTGGATAGTGATTGGCCAATACATAAATTTTACCGCTGTGGGTCCTTGGGAAGGTCTCGAATTTTGAAAAATTTGTGCTCAAAATTTTTCAGAAAACCCTTCGTTTAAAATTTTTCATAAATAAGAAATTATTAGAATATCGTTTTTGTATCCTCTGTAGTTACTATTTTAATAATAAAAGCAAATATTTTCCTTTAATTTGGATAAAACATATCTAAAACCGATTTTAGGCTTGAGAAATGCATTGTTTGTGCATACGATACATTTTGAATTTTTATACAAGTACCAACAGCAAGGAAAAGAATAGGTACGAGGTAAATTTTCATTGGCTCAAGCTTACAACGATAATGATGACGTATGCAACAAGTTTGTATTTTTAAGTTGGTAAATAATATTTTTCTTCGATTTTTTATAAATAGGTATTAGAAAGTAGGTACCTAGGTAGTATTTTTGTTAATTCACAAATTACCTATTACATCATTTTAAAACCGTTGAAACATCTTTTATAAAACCATTAAAAAACCATCAGCAATCAGCATGAAATGACTACTACTACTGACAGTTTTGTGTAAAATCCAAACCATACCTACATGTTTGTGACAAAACTGCAAATTTCAATTAGGTACCTACGTAATTTTTTATTTATCATGGTTTTGCCTATGAGTAATTTTAATTAATAGAAGTGTAATAGGTACTTAATTAAGATTAATGTGGTAGGTACCTAATTTAATAACTAATTACATTTTTATAATAGGGCAAAAAAACATGAACTAATTGTTCTTAATTTCTAAAATTTTTTTTTACTGCCATCTTCCATAGTATTAGTAAAATAACTTTGTAAATATCTTCGGAAACTGCAAAAGCAATTGTTGCAGTTCGATAAATTTACAATAGATGGCAGCGTTATACAGTTATTGTGATTTAAATATGAAGATCAGATTTAAATTGGATTTTCAAGTATCACATAGGTATATTACCTATTTCTAGGTATTTTCAAATATATAATAGGGCAAATAAAACATTCATGAATAGAGGACTTCTATACAAGGGAAGGGCAACCAACTTGACAAAATAAAATTGACACTAATGACATAAGAAATCGGGTCACATAAAGAGACTGTTTTTTAGTTTGATTTTTGGTTTTTCCTATCTACTTTCTTGCCATTATTGCATACCTTGTTGTACCCGTAACGTGAAAAAGACTTTTTAGTTTAGGGTATTTTACATTTAAAGGTTGAAATATTTTGTCATTGTCAGTTGTCAATTATGTTGATGATAGAACACAGGCGTAACCATAGATGGGCATAACGTAACTAGTATTGTATGTTGGTTGTATATTTTATAGAACTTGTATTCGTAGCAGCAGCATTCTCCAATCGACATAAATAAATAAAACCAAATGAAAAATAATGTTTCAAGAAAGCAGGAGAAACACAATTAGACTAATAACAACAAAAAATAAAATGCAATGCTACGCTTATGTTTTGACATTATCGACAGCTGATATTGACAAATGTTTTCAACCTTTAAATGTAAAATACCCTAAAATAAAAAGTCTTTTTCACGTTACGGGTACAACAAGGTATGCAAATGGCATGAAAGTAGATAGGAAAAACCAAAAAACAAACTAAAAAACAGCCTCTTTATGTGACCCGATTTCTTATGTCATTAGTGTCAATTTTATTTTGTCAAGTTGGTTGCACTTCCCTTGTATAGAAGTCCTCTATTAATTGTTATTAATTTCTAAATTTTTTTACTGCCATCTTCCGCATTATTAGTAAAATAACTTTGAAAATATCTTCGGAAACTGTAAAAGTAATTGTTCCAGTTTGATAAATTTACAATAGATGGCAGTATTATAGAGTTAATATGCTTTAAATTGGATTTTCAAGTGGACGTAGTTATGCAGAAGTGATCCAATCCACCCAAACCATAGGTATATTGAGAAAAATGATGTTAAAGTTAAATTCTCTACGTGATAATAATAGAATATATAGCGAGTATTTATGATTTTCACTATTAATATCCTTCTTAATTGTTCGATCGTTGCAGAAGAATATAATTTCTGGTAGATTTGTGGTTTGGAACATTTCTGCATAACTACATCCAAGTATCCCACTCCCACAGGTATATTACCTATTTCTAGGTATTTTCAAATATACATATAGGAAAATATTCCTTATATTCCTATATTTTTTAGTAGGGCCTATCACAAAATAGGGCAAAGAAAAGTTTCTGTATTAACAAGCTTCCACAAATGTTGCGTTATAGGGTATCAAAGGGGCAACTGCCCCCCCCCCCCCCACCTAGAAAAGCCAGGAAAAATTATGTTTTATTTTGTCATGAAAAATTAAAAAAATTGCCCCCCTAGAAAACCAATAAAAAATTATGTTTTATTTTATCATAAAAAAGACATTAATTTATTAATAAAATATAATTAAAGTATTTTTAGTAATTTTAGTAGGTAATATATTGAAGTTTGACTTTTTTTTTGTTTTTTCAAGAATTATTTGTTTCTGTTACTTTAGAATAATTTATTTTTGTGCTTGAGCCCTTGTGCCTGTTTCGCTATATGTATTTTTTGTTTTGTTTGTGTAGTTTTTAAATTAATAAAAGAAAAATGTTTCGGTGAGCTCAGGACCGGAGCGAGCGGAGGGTAGAATTTTGGAAAAAAAGGTGTGTTTTTTTTTGACGATCTTAACGACTTTTGACAAGAGGGTGACGAAGGCGTGATTTTTTAACGATTTTAAGACTCCTGAGTAAAAATTGGGCGTGGCATAACCCAAAATTTTCTGCCTCCGGCGGCCCCTGCGCGGGGGCTGTACTTGACCTTTACCATATTGTTTTTTACCATAGTGTTTTTTAAAAAATACAGGGTGCTTTGTTGGAATAGATGTGCTTTGCTGGTTTCGTTCGAAGCTAGCAGAGCACTTTGATTTTTGTATAAAATGAGTAGCGTAAAAATAGCTTCAAAATAGCCTAAAAAATTGGCATAGGTTTCAACTCAAAATTGCCTAGATGCTCTGCTGCCTTCTATGACATTAAAAATTAGCAATGAATATCCAACATAAAAAAATCCTAAAATTTAACACTTGCCTTCCTTCGTCTGGTGCAGTCTAACGATTATTTTTGTTTGAAGGAACAACGGCTTTGAAATTTTGATGGTTCATATTTATAGAAAAAAACAAGTTGATTTTTTTCAACATTTTCTTGTATCAACCATTTGTATGAAAGTCATAGTCGGTAATAGACACATAGTTGATATTGATATTAGATTCGGAAGCATACATAATATCATGGTATGACACTGTGATTCGTATTCGTGATCCGAAAAAATGGATTCGAATCACTTGATTCGAATCCTTTTTTATTGTAAAAAGGATCCGGACATAGGATCCGTGATTCGAATCACATCTCATGGTTCGGATTCGTGATCCGAATCACATCTCATGGTTCAGATTCGTGATTCGAATCAATTTTTTGAGGATTCGTCCCAGCTCTGCCTTATACCAACACGTATAGAAAGCAGTGACTAGGGGGCGTCTATGTATGCAAAGCCGAGTACAAACCTGAATAGAGAAGGTACCACATCCCCAACTAGTCCTAGTCATTTATAAAAGTGTATTATTTGCTGTAACGCCAACACCAAACTCATATAATATAAACAGTTATATAGACCAAAATCATGCCATCTCTAAGTGGGAGTGGGAGAACCAATTATATTGGCGTAACATGGCGACGAGCTCATCATCATCATCTGCTGGGTACATTGAGAACCGTGCATTGAAATAGAATATCGCCCCCTTAGTGCAACAACTAGATAATTCGAAATTTGTGCATTTTGAGTTATCCAGTTAAATCTGTCCTATTTTTCATGCTCTTTTCAATGCAACAACTGGATATCATGTACGAACAACCAAACTTATTTAAAGAGTGACTAAAAACGGATAACTCCCAATGGGGTCTATTCTGTAATAATTCCTTTATATTTACCGGCCTTTAAAAATATTGGCGACCTTTAAAAATATGTTTGTATTCGTTAATTTACTTCTGTCATTATTTAAACAGATTTCTAATGTATTTTAAAGATCCGTTTAAATAATGACAGAAGTAAAGAAGAAAATATTTTTAAAGGCCGTTAAATATAAAGGAATTGTTACAGAATAGACCCTAATATATACATTTTATAACTAGACATCTTGAGATATCTAGTTGTAGCACTGGTATTATTGAGTTATCCGCCGGCACCTTCTTGGTCGCTATGAGATATCTAGTTGTGTGCTTGAAACAACAGGTTTGTTTCTGTGCTGCTAAATTGTTTTACGGTGTTTTTTTAAACACTGATAATGCAAAAATGACGTCAAGGGGAAAGAATATTTTAGAAATTCTACGTGGCTAATTAGAAAATAATGCAGGCATGTCAAAATCTATTTAAATATTTTTAAGGTGAAGGGGGAGAAAAAGTCCTTTATATCTCACAAGGAAAGTCAATGTTTAATTATTTAACAAAACATTGAGTGCGACCGGTTTCGAAGTGTCATCACTTCATCTTCAGGCTCGCCTAGTGGAAAGGAGAATATGTGGTGTAAGGTGTGTTAACTTGGAACAAACGATATATAAAATATTAAAAAAGAGAAAACTCACCATACTCTCCATCCACTAGGGAATACTACAAAACAAGTTTCATCAAATGTGGGGTGAAATAAATTGTAAAATGAACAAAGTTTACAAGTAATAAAAAGTTAAAAATATTTGAAAAAACAAATATTAGTCAATTAAAATAGTAAAAATTTAAAATATTCAAGACCATACAAAACAAATCACATACATTAAACAGATTAAAAGATAAGGCTTATTTTAAACAACCTTGTTGTTTTTTCAAAAAACTAACATTTTTGAAAGGAGACCTTTGATGACACTTCGAAACCGGTCGCACTCAATGTTTTGTTAAATAATTAAACATT